GAGGGACCTATGCCAGACATGGTGACTCATGCCTATAATCCCAACACTTTGAGACGCTGAGGAAGGAAGATCACTTGAGCCCAGGAGTTCAAGACCAGCCTGGGCAATGTAGAGAAATCTTACCTCTACAAATTTTTTTTTGTTTGTTTGCATTAGCCAGGTGTGGTGGCTTACACCTGTAGTTCCAGCTACTAAGTAGGAGGCTGAGGCAGGAAAATGACTTGAGTCCAGGAGGTAGAGGCTGCAGTCAGCTGTGATGGTGCCACTGTGCTCCCCTACTGGGGCGACAAAGTGGGGCCCTGTTTTAAAAATAACAAAATAAAATGGAGTGACCTGAAATAACTTCTGCCAAATCCAGGGTTTAGCACATGAAGCATAGTGCCAGGCACAAAGGAAATGGTCATCAAATACAAAAGTTTCTACTTCCGAAACTTGCACAGGTACAAAGGTCACAGCAGAACTAGAGTGTATGCCACCAATAAGTAATGTGATAGCCTGTTGCATGAGGTCACTTTAGACCCATGAATGAATGGACTGGCCCAGCCCTCAGGAAGGCAGGAAGGTAACCTGCCTGACCTGAGATGCTCCTGAGGAGTGGTGCACCAGAACCAGGAGTGCCATTGTAAGGCTACTTCTAACACACATCACACACACACACACACACACACACACACACACACACACACAGAGAGAGAGAGAGTAGAGAGTGGGGGGGGAGGGGGGGAGAGAGAGAGAGAGAGAGCGAGCGAGCGAGCACGGGCGCGCGAGCGCATGCGCAAGCTCCAGAACAGCAATGGCCTTTTCTATAAAAGGAAACCTCTATTTAAAAAGAAACGATACCATGAAAATGTAAGATACCCAAGACTTACCCTGCAATTCCCAAGAAACCTCGTAATGGTAAAACTCCCCAAATGACACCCAGGACCACAGCAATGATCTGTCGGAACCAGTAGATCACATCTAAAAATTCATCCTGCAGAAAAGACAGAAAATGCAACAATTATCTAGGGTGGGTGCCACAGGACAGCCAGTGTGGGAAATATTAAATCTTTCTGCTAAACACATCCAGGGAATTTCTTTCCCCCAAAGGCAACAGTATGTGCTTCCTGCTTCACCTCTTATTTCTACTAACATGTCCTAGAAAATGATACATTTAGACATCAAGTGATCATTTCCAGAACCTGTGCTCTAAATCAAAATTCTAGAGCTGCATAATGATGTGAAGCAGCCTGTAATGAAATGATTGTGATAGTAATTGTGCTACTGGCCATACATACAGATTAGAAGAAAAATGCTGGAGGCAGGTGCCAGCATATTTAAGTTTCATGGAAGCACACAGAAGACGACTCAGGTTTCTGATCTGCCCTAGATTGCAGAAACCAGTCCTTATACAAAGAAAGAAAGAAATGACACAGCAGATTAGAGACTGCAGGTTTTGTAAGAGCTGGGCAGGGATGGTGGCAGAACAAGGGCACCTTCAGGAAGTGCCTCCCATCCCCCCTTACAGGAACTTCGGGAAGGAAAACCCAATTCGGCAGTCCAGAAAACTAAAGAAATGACTGCAAATAAAATATTCTTTTCAAGCTACCTGAAATCAAGCTGCTTGTGATGGCCCCTTCCAGATCATGGAGCAGAAGCAACCTCCGAATGGAACGAGTTAAGAACATCCTGGAGTCCCAACCATTTCTCGCACATATTTGGTGGCGTTTCTCCACCCCAAAATCTCACACACACCCACGGGGTGGTCTTAAGTCTCCCGTCTGGACTCACGCTTATCAAAGTATTCCGTTCTTTCATTCAACAAGCAACAGCAGCTCAAGATCAGAGAGCCTCATTATGTTCAAAACTCTTTAATGCACCAGAGTACCCCACTTCAGAGTTAATTCTGAGAATTAATTAAGATTCCGCATGGAAAACACCTAGCACGTAGAAATCAGTAGAAGTCTGTTACCGTACTGTTTATGCCAACGACTGTGCTAGGTAGTTAATTCGAAAGAGACAAGTAACTTAAGACCCTACTGCACATAAAAGGCGGAGGCTGAATCGAATTCAGCTCCCTTTCCCCGGTCAGGCACACGCCCTGCCCGCGGATGACAACGCCTCTCCCCGTTCCTCGCAGCTCCCTCATGACCAGGAAGCTTCCTTGAGCCACCCTTCGGGGAGCTCCCAAGCCCAGCTGTCCGCCCTGTGCCCGCCAAGTTCGCTCTGACACTCTTGGGCCACCCGCTCGATCGCGCCGGAAAGGGGACGAGGGCAGGCCCGGGTCCGTCTTCCGTTCCCCGAGTCCCAGCTGGCTCCTCGCACCCGCGAGCCGTTCAGGCTCCACCGTACCTTGTCCTCCCAGGCCGCATCGCTCCGCAGCACCTTGCTCCAGACGGAGACTTTGAGGGCCCCGTTGGCCAGCTGCGGCTGAGGCGGCTCCTCCTTCCGCCGCCCGCCGCTCATCCTCCCGTCGCGCCGCCCGGGCTGGGCCTGGGGCGCGCGGGCTGAGCCAAAAGGAGTCGGGATCTAGGGTCGCGGGTCACGGCGCCGGGCGGCTGCAGGATCAGCGGTCCCGTCCTGCGATACGCTGCGGATCCTCCCACCTGGCCAAGCTGCCGGCTCCACTGGCTCCACAGAGCAGGTTCCACGGAGGGAGGGGCGGTGCAGTGTCGCGCGTCCTCCCGCCGACGTGCCACGCAGCCAATCGGCTGCCGCGCATCCTTCCGCGTGAAAGAGCGACCGTCGCCTTGGCGCAAGCGCGCTACGCGTGACGGAAATGACGTTAGCCTCCCCCAGGCTCGCGGTAGAGTGTGAGGGAAGGGACAATATTGGGAGAACGGCGACATGGACGCCAGGAGGCACTGTGGAGACCGAGGAGGTAGCGGAAAACCGAGGGTAGACGTGAGCGTCGCCCAGTTGGCCACGACTCCCCTTCGAGCACCAGTGCAGGAGCGGCTCTACCTTTCCTGAGGCAGCCTTGCGACCTGCTCGCCTGAGCCCAGACCTTGCTCCAGGGTATCCCCAAGCTGCCCAGCAGAATTGAGCCTGCTCGTTTTCTCCCCTAACCCTGCGAGTTCTGTAGGGACTTGTTCAAGATGTTAACTCTTCTTTAGTAACTAAGCATCTCATCTTGCCCAGCACCCTCTTTTGACACACGAGATCCCTGAGACACCAAAAGGGGAAATGAGGGTTTTTAATTTTTAATTTTTTTTTTTTTTGAGACGGAGTCTGGCTCTGTTGCCCAGGCTGGAGTGCAGTGGCGCAGTCTCAGCTCACTGCAACCTCCCCCTCCAGGGTTCAAGCGATTCTCCTGCCTCAGCCTCCCAAGTAGCTGGGGTTACAGGCAGGCGTCACCACGCCTAATTTTTGTATTTTCAGTAGAGATGTAGTTTTGCCATATTGGCCAGGCTGGTCTCGAACTCCTGACCTCAGGTGATCCACCCACTTCGGCCTTCCAAAGTGCTAGGATTACAGGAAGGAGCCACAGCGCCTGGCCCTTTTAATTGTTTTTAATTATTATTTTTTGAGACAGGATTTCACTCTGTTGCCTATGCTAGTGTGCGGTGGCACAACCTAGGCTCACTGCAACCTCTACCACCTGGGCTCAAGCCATCCTCCATCTCCTGACCTCGTGAGCCACCCACTTCAGCCCTGAAAGTGTTGGGATTGTAGACATAAGCCACCGCGCCTGGCCTTTTTTTTTTTTGGAGGGAGACAAGAGTTTCACTTTGCTGCCCATGCTGGAGTGCAGTGGCAGTGCCTCCACTCACTACAACCTCTGCCTCCAGGGTTCAAGTAATTCTCGTGCTTCAGCCTCCTGAGTAGCTGGGATTACAGGCACCACCACCATGCCCGGCCCATTTTTTTTGTATTTTAGTAGAGATGGGGTTTCACCACGTTGCCAAGGCTGGTCTCAAACTCCTGAGCTCAGGCAATCCGCCCATCTCAGCCTCCCAGAGTGCTAGGATTACAGGTATAAGCCATTGCATCTGGCCTCTGGACAGTGAATTTTTAGAGGCAAGTAACATGTCTAGAATCACTCACCTGGTACCTGGGTTTGTCTGACTCTAAAATCTGTGCTGTTATTTTTTATTTTTTTAAATAAAAATGGGGTTTCACCATATTGGTCAGGCTGGTCTTGAACTCCCAACCTCAGGTGATCTGCCCCGCCTTGGCCTCCAAAGTGCTTGGATTACAGGTGTGAGCCACCACGCCCGGCCAAATCTGTGCTCTTAACCATTAAACTTTAAATCTTAGAGTATCAATGGGTCAGGGCATTTTTTGCATACCTTTCAACATTCACCTGTAGTTCTTCACTTTTCGGGAACAATATAACCTCCTAGGGAGGCTGGGCGCCATGGCTCAGGCCTGTAATCCCAGCACTTTGGAAGGCTGAGGGGGGTGGATCACTTGAGGTCAGGAGTTCAAGACCTGCCTGGCCAACATGATTGAAAACCCCATCTCTACTAAAAATGCCAAAAAATTAGCTGGGTGTGGTGGTGGGTACCTGTAATCCCAACTTCTCAGGAGGCTCAAGGCACAAGAATCATTTGAACCTAGGAGGTGGAGGCTGCATTGAGCCAAGACGGTGCCATTGCACTCCAGGCTGGGCAACAGAGCAAGACTTCATCTGAAAAAAAAAAAAAAAAAAGAAAAAAAGAACCTCCTGGGGAGCTTTTTCAGAATACCATAGCTGATGTTTTCCACCCCAAGCCCACTCTGACATTATTTTAGTAGATTAAGAGGGGCTGGACCCCTAAGGTGAAACACACTGCGATCACATTACTGTCTGGAGCTGGTGGAAGGGCTGTATACATTATATGGGTGCACACCTTTTGTCCTGTTTCCCATGGGTCTTGTTCTTTTCAGTCCTGCCTCTTTTCTGATCCAGTTTCCCTCCCATATGCAATGGTAAAGCTTAGCCAGTTGAAGGAAATAAAAATATTTCACCCCAAAATATGGCTCCCTAGTATAATGACTAGTTTAGTTTAGTTTTTGAGACAGGGTCTCACTCTGTTGCCCATGCTCAAATGCAGTGGCATGACAGAGCTCACTGCAGATTGCTTTTTTTTTTCTTTTTGAGACAGAGTTTTGCTCTTGTTGCCCAGGCTGGAGTGCAATGGTATGATCTCAGCTCACCACAACCTCCACCTCCTAGGTTCAAGCAATTCTCCTGCTTCAGCCTCCTGAGTAGCTGGGATTACAGGCATGCACCACCATGCCCAGCTAATTTTGTATTTTTAGTAGAGACGGCGTTTTTCCATGTTTGTCAGGCTTTTCTCGAACTCCCAACCTCAGGTGATCCGCCCACCTCGGCCTCCCAAAGTGCTGGGATTACAGGCATGAGCCACCGAACCCGGCCTCACTGCAACTTTGATCTCCTGGGTTCAAATCATCTTCCCACCTCAGCCTTCCAAGTAGCTGAAGCTGCAGGCACAGGCATATGCCACCACACCTGGCTACATTTTTCCTTTTTTGGGAGAGTCTCACTCTGTCGCCCAAGCTGGAGTCCAGTGGCGTCATCTCCACTCACTGCAACCTCCACTTCCCAGGTTCAACCAGTTCTCTTGCTTCAGTCTCCCCAGTAGCTAGGATTACAGGCGTGCACCACCATGCCTGGCTAATTTTTGTATTTTTCAGTAAAGTCGGGGTTTTGCCATCTTGTCCCAGCTGGTCTCAAATTCCTGACCTCAAGTGATCCACATGCCTCAGCCACCCAAAGTGCTGGGATTACAGGTGTGAGCCACAATACCCTGCCTTTTTTTTTTTTTTTTTCATAGGAACATGGTCTGACCATGTTGCCCAGGCTGATCTTGAACTCCTGGGCTCAAGCAATCCTCCCGCCTCGGCCTCCCAATTTGTTGAGATTATAGGTATGAGCCACTGTGCCTAACATAATAACTGAAATTGAAAACCTTTAGAGATCAAGGTGCTGGAAGAGACTTTTCCCCTGTCTACATAAAGATATGACTGACCCACCAAGAAGAGTTCTTGTTCCTCTCCTAGTTATCTCACTTTCTATTGCAGAAGAGAACAGTGTAACCACACGTGAACAGACCATTTTTCAAGGTAATAACTGTCTCCAAGAATCATTTAAATTCCAAATATAACTATTTACAATTTCTGATCCCCATCTAGTCATTCTTCCTAGTAATCGTTTGTTGTCCCTCAATAAAATTCCTCTGCTTCCCCTTCCCATAACCTATTCTACCAGGATCCAAGCCCCCATTCTTTCCGTAACCTCAAAATGGTATAGAAGCGTGTGTACCTGGCTGGGCATGTTGGCTCATGCCTATAATCCCAGCACTTTAGGAGGCCAAGGTGGGAGGATCATCTGAGACCAGCCTGGCTAACATGGTGAAACCCCATTTCTACTAAAATACAAAAAATTAGCCAGTTGTGGTGGTGCACGCCTGTAATCCCAGCTACTTGGGAGGCTGAGGCAGGAGAATTGCTTGAACCTGGGAGACAGAAGTTGCAGTGAGCCAAGATTGCACCATTGCACTCCAGCTTGGGCCAAAAAAAAAAGAAGCTTCTGTACCTTATTGGGGATCTGGGTCTTCATTCTGAAGACTCCTGGGTATAGACATTAAATAAAATTTGTATGCCTTTTTTCATGTTAATCAATCTGCCTCATGTCAGATTTTCAGGGAAACTTCAGGGGGCCAAGAGCTTCCAAACTCACTTGTTTGGAAATATACCATTATTACAAAACCTCTTTTACAGACTCCTTGCTGGCATGTAGTTCAGAAGACAAACTGGTGAATCTGTCATAGAATGTTGGAAGAATGACTAGCCCTTCGCCTACAGAAAGGTAAATTTTCACTCTGCCAGGTCTCCTCCTGGTGAAGATGTATAATGGGGAACCTGATCTGGGGGAATTAGGGAAGACTAAACTCTGAAGGAAGAAATTAGAAGGAGAAGAGGGAGGTGGAGGTGGGAGAGAACCTTTAGGGAAATGAAACCATGTGGGCTAATGGTAAGGAATGAAGCCACCAGAGGGGAAGGACGCAAGAATCATACTGAAGAGTTTGCTTCTTATCCCAGAGGCAGGGGAAGCCATCAGGTTTGCATCTTAGAAGGATCATGGTAGCTGCTATTTGGGGGACTGGATCAGAATGGAGGACTAGTTAAAAGGCTATTGAAGTCATTTAGGTGAGAGTTGGTGAGGGCATTGAAGATGGATAAAACTAGATTCAAAAATATTTTTAAAATTAAACATGTTATTTATTTATCTATTAATTTATTTATTTTGGAGACAAGGTCTTGCTCTGTTGCCCAGGCTGTAGTGCAGTGGTTCCATCTCAGCTCACTACAGCCTCTGCCTCCCAAGTGATTCTCGTGCCTCAGCCTCTGGAGTAGCTGGGATTACAGGCATGCACCACCACACCGGCTAATTTTTTGTATTTTAGTAGAGATAGGGTTTCACTGTGTTGCCCAGGGTGGTCTTGAATTACTGAGCTCAGGCAGTCTGCCTACCTCAGCCTCCCAAAGTGCTGGAATTACAGGCATGAGCTACCATGACTGGCCAAATTAATTTTTCTTTTTTTTTTTTTTTTGAGACGGAGTTTCACTCTTGTTACCCAGGCTGGAGTGCAATGGTGCGATCTCGGCTCACCGCAACCTCCGCCTCCTGGGTTCGGGCAATTCTCCTGCCTCAGCCTCCTGAGTAGCTGGGATTACAGGCACGCGCCACCATGCCCAGCTAATTTTTTGTATTTTTAGTAGAGACGGGGTTTCACCATGT